TACTCCAAAAAGAAGGGTGGTTATTGGATCATTTACCAACCTGAGTCTGATAGACCCTATATTTATTTATTTAAAATTTTTTCCATGTAAGTGTAAGTAAGGTAAAAAAAAAAAGTGAATTCCATTATAGAGCCGTATGCAATGCGCAAAAGAAGATGCCTGTACGGTTGTTCAATTATATCTTTTTTATTATTATTCTTTATCTCTTCACCTTTCATTATGCGAGATAGAATAAACATTTATTATGTTATATCATCAGGGTAATGATCCACCAACCTGCTGCCTCTTTTTATGAGGCACAGACGGGAGAATTTATCTTGGAAGCGGAAGAACTACTGAAGCTGCGCGAAACCCTCACAAGGGTTTATGCACAAAGGACAGGCAAACCCTTATGGGTTGTATCCGAAGACATGGAAAGAGATGCTTTTATGTCAGCAATAGAAGCCCAAGCTCATGGAATTGTTGATCTTGTAGCGACTGAATAAAAAAGAAAAAATAACAAGGATTTCACACGAATTCGTTATTTGAGATTTTATCTTCTTACCGGATTTAATATTCTATTATTTAATATTCTATTAATTAATCTCATTAATCTATTAATATAGAAATAAAATAATTCATAAGCATCCGGTTAAGATCGATCTAAACCAGCCCATTATGTATATGATTCAACATGCCAACTATTAAACAACTTATTAGAAACACAAGACAGCCAATCAGAAATGTCACGAAATCCCCCGCTCTTGGGGGATGTCCTCAACGACGAGGAACATGTACTAGGGTGTATGTGCGACTCGTTCAGATCATGGGCTAGGACAAAAGAAAGAAAACAATTGATCCAGTATCAACGATCAGTACCAGTGAATAGGATAGAATGGAAGAACTCCAGTCAATATCTAAAAATAAAAAAGATCTATCCTTCTATTATGGTATCAAATGTATGGTTTCCGTTGGTGCAAATCCAATCACCTCAATTTAAAAATTTTAAATTTAAGATGAGAAAGAATTCTCCATTGATAGCAAATGGTATCCATTAAGCAGGGGAAATCCTATTTTAAAAAGCAGAAAAATTTTGCCTTACTCTTGCAAGAACGGACTAACAGGGTCAGCTACCCAGCTAATCTTCATAATTAAATACCGTTACTGTATAAGTGGATCTCGTTGTGAAAGACCTAGTACTGGATAATTTTGGGTAGAGCCAAAGAGTTTGAACTGTACAAGTTAACAATAACATTGATTAAATGAAAGAAAGAAGGGCTCCGGTGTATAGAGAAGACCTCACCGTTTAAGAAGTAACCATAGAAACGATGGAACCCACTATATCCATTTATATTTATTACTTTTTTATTTACTATGTGTTTTTCTAGTATCAATACAATTTTTTTTATAGGTGAAATGCCTAGAAAAAAAGAAAAATCGTGGTCGGGAAGGTTATAATAGCAAAAGCCATTGGAATTTTTATTTTATACATTGGAAGAATCCGTTTTGTTATTAATAGACTAGGACACGGGAAGAGAATAACTGAAAGAAAGGAAATCGATTAGTTATTCATCAAAGTTTCATTTATTCAATGACCAGAATTAAACGAGGGTATATAGCTCGAAGACGTAGAACAAAAATCCGTTTATTTGCATCAACCTTTCGAGGGGCTCATTCAAGACTTACTCGTACTATTACTCAACAGAAAATAAGAGCCTTGGTTTCGGCTCATCGGGATAGAGGTAGACAAAAGAGAGATTTTCGTCGTTTGTGGATCACTCGGATAAATGCAGTAATTCGCGAGAATAAAGTATACTTTAGTTATAGCAAATTAATACACAATCTGTACAAGAGACAGTTGCTTCTTAATCGTAAAATACTTGCACAAATAGCTATATTAAATAAGAGTTGTCTTTATATGATTTCCAATGAGATCATAAAATAAAGAGATTGGAAGGAATCCGTTGGAATAGTTTAAATGGAGTTCCCTGGAGAATGAACTCTGGGAAGGTAGAGTAGAAATTAGTATGATAAAATATGATAAAGTCATCAAAATGAAGAAACACGTTCAATAAAAATATTTATTCTTCTCCAATTTTTTTTTTTCTTACGAGTTGACTCGCTTCTTTCAAATTGTTTCTCATTATTAAGAAAAGGTAACAGAGATAAAATACGAGCTTGTTTTATAGCAATAGTAATTAATCGTTGTTGTTTTAAGGTCAACCTATTTACCCGTCTAGATAATATTTTTCCTTGTTCGCTAATAAATCGACTAATTAAACTCATGTTTCTATAATCAATTCGATCCCCCGATTGGATCGGAGGCAAACGCCTACGAAAAGATCGCTTGGATTTAAGAAGGATTCGCTTGGATTTATCCATGGTTTGTTTATTCCTTATCCTGAAAATCCCAATCCTATTTCTTAATTCTACATCATGTTTGATCCGATCGAAATAGGATTGGGTTTGTTTATATTTAAATAAATATATGTTATATATAATATGTAATTTTTCATCTTCCTTGGAAGACTGACACACGAGCGGTCGGTTCGATCTATTTCTTTATCTCCCCATGAATCGTATGTTTGTAACAACAGGGACAGAATTTTCTCAATTCCAATCGACCGGGCGTATTGTGTCGATTCTTTTGAGTAATATATCTGGAAATGCCCCTTGATTCCTTATTAACACGATTTCGAAGACAACTGGTACATTCCAAAATAACGGTTACTCGGACATCTTTACCCTTGGCCATGAACCTCCTTTGGTTTATGATTCACTCAATTCTTTAATTTTCCGATCCGAAGCAAGGAAGAATAAAAAAAAAAAAAAAAAAAAAAAAAAAAAAAAAAAAAAAAAAAAAAAATAAATCGAAATCAAATTATAAAAGAAAGATTTCGTTGCAATCAATATAGTAATAATAAGTAATATAATGATTTCTAACTATATTTATAATTAAGAATTGCCGTACAGTATTTTCAGTTAAGTATCTTGTATGATATTGTTGCCCCAACCATCACATTTTTATTTCCACTCTATTATTAATATTAATTTAATTTGAGCCTGGGCCCGAGTTCATAGTTTCACTGAGGGCGAAACCGCTTTTTCTTTGTTTTTTTTTTAGAATAAGTTATTCTAAAAAAAAAACAAAGAAAAAAAGAAGGCAAGGGTAGGGATTAGTTACAGAGATTTGATTGTATCTCTAATCTTCTTCCCCCTTCTCATATCAATAACTAAAATGAAAAAAAGGGGAATATCAACGCATCCGGAAAAAAACGATTGATCTCTATCAATAAACCTGCCAAAGACCCGAACCATAAAGCACTTACTACCGGTGCCACGGAGAGATATGTTTTTAGATCTCGCATTTTAAAAACTCCTCTTTCTTTATTCGTTATTGTAATTTTATTGTAATTTGTAATACATAATGGTAATACATATATGACCAGATGTGTATATGTAGTTAATGACTGACCGCCTGTATTTGTACGCGGAGTCCCTAATTAAAATTAAAATGTACAAAATAGATATTTCTACCTGAAATTACTAAAAAATATTAATTTTTTATGGTAGGTTTCATATTTATTTCATACTTTATATAATATAAGTCTTTTAATATATTATATGTTTGTTATATGATATATGAGACCAAAAAGAAGAAATGAAAAGAGAATTTTTGTATATCAATGGAGGAAGTAAAGATGTGGAAAACAAGACAGGGATTCTCTACAATGACACTGTAGACCAATTGAAAGGGATGTAGCGCAGCTTGGTAGCGCGTTTGTTTTGGGTACAAAATGTCACGGGTTCAAATCCTGTCATCCCTACCTATTACTTATCTTATGAGCAGTAACGAGGGATCAATTGAGATAAATTGGACATACATAATAAATCTTTAATTTTATGATATATATGCAAGATGAATTGGGGTCACAAAATCTTTATTGTGATAATGATAATAAGGCGCTCTTAGTTCAGTTCGGTAGAACGTGGGTCTCCAAAACCCGATGTCGTAGGTTCAAATCCTACAGAGCGTGATTCTGTGTTCTTGTTAATCGCGTTAGGTCGAAAATTACACTTAAATAATTGAACAGCAATATAAATTTGACCTCCCGTGGATTAAAGGAAGTAGGAGGTCAATCAAAAAAGAGATGTTAATTAATCAAAGGTCCAACTGATCACCACGTCTGTATTGTAAATATGCAGTTACGAATAATCCGGCCAAAGTAATAGGAATTAGACCTAAGACGATTCCAAATAGAAAAACTTCAATCATTTCAATTTGTTTGAAAGGGGAAAGGGGAGGTAATATTTATCCTTAAATATTAATCTGTATTGACTATAAATCTCAATGACCAAGAATTGGAAATTGATACGTTAAGTAACTGTAGAAGATATGAACTGCCATAGAAAGATTTTTTTTATGAATTGTTCATGTTCATTTAATTAATTTCAAATAAGTCGTATCTTGCTCAGACCGATAAATAGAGCTGAGGTGATAGTCAAAGCTGCTAGTAGAAAACCAAAATAACTAGTTATAGTAGGCATGAAAAGGCTAAATGAAATATGTTCTTTTTATACATATGTTTATAAAGCACTTCCCTAAGTTTCAATTTTTGAAAGATACGAGGATAAGCAAAAATACCAACCAATTGAAAGAATAAATTCAATTGAAAATGTTTGATTCATCTATTATTATAGACGATACTAACAAAAATAGAGTAACATAAGTAAGAAATCGATTCATCATTTGTGACATTTACCCATGTCGCACTTTTGAATCAACAGATTCATCGGTCAACTCTGGAGTTGACTAAACTAATATATGCATATAACTAATACATGTATATATATATAGAATATTTAAATTAAAATTATAAATAAAGTAATAATAAGAACTTTTTTTTATAACTTTATTCACAAAATTAAACTTTCTTTGAATCACTAATCACTGTGGAATAAAATTGGAAAATCATTTTGATCGTTTTTTATATCGTATCGAAATATTTTTTTTTTTCTTTTTTTTTTTTTTACAAAGTGCCCTTGTAATGCACTTTATTTTTTTACTTTAAAGTGAACTCAGTAGTAGTTCATTCACATAATCTTGCGATTGAAAAGAAAAAAAGTATCGCATGATAAGATCAATCGAAACTAGGTTTTACATTTTTTCTTTCCATATTAGAAAGCCCACCCTTGTAATTAGGTCAAGAAGGACCCCCCTTTTTCCTTTGTTTGGGTCTAATATCTAATACAATAATGCGTGCATCACGAATATTGATTATTTTTTTATTTATTCGTTGTTCTCTTTCTTTTATTGAACTACTATTGTTACTTGTTACTGGGCGGCTAACCGATTCCTAAAAAAAAGGATTCCAACAAAAAACATCTTATACAACCACAAAAAGGATATTTTTAGATGTAACATCTAATTGAATCGTGAGAATATGACAATCTCCTTCATAAATTATTGGAAACCAACCCGTCGGATTCACATTTTACCTGATCTTCAGTTTCTAGTCCGAAGTCAATAATGAAGAAAACCCTTATACTACAGGAATTTGAGGAATTTTCTATTAAATGGTACAAAATTCTACATCGACAAGCAACAAGAAAAGAAGAAAGAAATTATCTAACACTTCATTTCGATACTGATTGTGAAATTGCATTGCTGTGTCAGAAGAAGGATAGCTATACTGATTCGGTATACTCTAAAGACACCCTTGGTACAATATTGACGATCTCACAAAGATTTTATTTCAGTTAATTTCCATTTACTGATTTCATCTTTTACGGAATCGACCCCCCCCCCTGACTGTACAAGAATATGCGGAGCTCAACATGTCTGGAAGCACAGGAGAACGTTCTTTTGCTGATATTATTACCAGTATTCGATACTGGGTCATTCATAGCATTACTATACCTTCCTTATTTATTGCGGGTTGGTTATTCGTCAGCACGGGTTTAGCTTACGATGTATTTGGAAGCCCTCGTCCAAACGAGTATTTTACAGAAAGCCGACAAGGAATTCCATTAATAACTGGCCGTTTTGATCCTTTGGAACAACTCGATGAATTTAGTAGATCTTTTTAGGAGGCCCCAATGACTATAGATAGAACCTATCCAATTTTTACAGTGCGATGGTTGGCTGTTCACGGACTAGCTGTACCTACCGTTTTTTTTTAGGGTCAATATCAGCAATGCAGTTCATCCAACGATAAACCTAATCCGAATCATAGAGCTACGACACAATCAAACCCGAACGAACAAAGTGTTGAATTGAATCGTACCAGTCTCTACTGGGGGTTATTACTCATTTTTGTACTTGCTGTTTTATTTTCCAATTATTTCTTTAATTAAAAAAAAAAAGAATATAAGAATTCTCTTATCCCATTCGGAAAGATATCATCTCATAATTATCTATGGCTGTTTATGTCTCGAGCATGACCACTTGATAAAATGTGGAGGAAAGTAGGACAAATGGCCGATACTACTGGAAGGATTCCTCTTTGGATAATAGGTACTGTAGCGGGTATTCTTGTGATCGGTTTAATCGGTATTTTCTTTTATGGTTCCTATTCTGGATTAGGTTCATCCCTGTAATAATCGGATGAACTGAGTTGTAGACATGAAAGCATAAGAACTCAACGGGATCCCCCTCGAATCAGACAAGGAAAGAGGGGGTAGGTCCCGTTGAGTTCTTAATAATCATAATATTTTTTTTATAGATGTTTCAAAAACCTCCACTTTTTCTGATAATGTTTTTGAAAAATTAACTTCGTTAAGGGATTCAGAACATCTGTTACTCAATAGTATCTGTCAATACTTAAAACGAAGAAGGAATCACTCTATTTACTCTTTTTGGATGACTCACAATTATATATACTATATATTTCTATCGATCAGATATCATGCAAACCCTTTCTATACTAATAGCATAGAACCTTACTCTATTTAATCTAATAAAAGTTAAATTTTTTTTTTTGAAATTGAAGAAGTTCTATTTGCTCAATAAACTTACCTATATTTATTTTTGTTTGTCCACTACCACTATTTACGTAATAAATCTAAAAAAGATTATGATAAACCTATAAAAAAATTTAAACTAAAAATAGAAATTTTTTACGAACGGGATCGAGAATCATTATTAATTCGACACAAGAAAGGGTTGTGGAAAATTCCGTTTCTTGTGTCAAGGACTAGTAGACGAACAATCCCCCCTAAAATCCTTTGTTCCTCTCATTTATACTTTGGTTTATATTCTCCGCTTATTTATCTTTTGTTTTGATTCTATTCAAATATAAAACTATTGATTCGTTCTATATCATACCGTTTGAATTTGGATTGAAAAAACAAATAAATAAAGAAGAGTTAAGTAAAATCAAATAGTCTTCTTCACAATATACTATGACCAGTAATGCGGTATAAGTAATTCCCGAAATCCGGTAGAAGAAAGAATATAAACAAGCAAAAATTTTTTGATTATACATAATTACATAACATAATTGCCAACAAAAATTTGTTTATTTTTAGAGCTTGATGTTGATAAATCCGCGGATCTAGAAATTCATTTCGGACAATTGAACCTTCTCAAACTGTTTCTTTTTAAGAACCAAAAAGATTTGTGCCAAAATAACAGATGCCAAGAATAGCAAAAGACCTTGGACACGTAATGGATCTTGAAGTACTATTTCCGCATCCCCCTGACCAAATCCACCCACATTAGGATTACTCGTTAATGGTTGATCAAGTTGGATGGATTCCCCCTCTGAAACAAGAAGTTCCGGTCCTGGAGGGATAATATCAACCACTTGACGTCCATCCGATGCACCCGCTATGGTTATTTCGTACCCCCCTTTTTCTTTTCGTATGATTTTGCTTACTATACCTGCTGCTGTAGCATTATAAACATTATTGTTACTCTTGCTCCCGTCGGGATAAATCTGACCCCTTCCCCTGTTCCCGCCTACGTATATGGGATATTTTAAGAAGTGAACATCTTTCTTAGTAGCGGGGTCCGGGGAAAGAATAGGAAAGGTGATTTCACTATATTTCTGACCAGGAACAGGACCTATCACAAGAATATTTTTTTTAGTGGGGCGATAGCTCTGAAAAGACAGATTTCCTATCTTTTCTTTAATCTCGGGCAAAATACGATCGGGAGGGGCTAATTCAAACCCCTCGGGTAAAATAAGAACAGCCCCTACATTCAAAGCTCCTTTTTTACCATTAGCAAGAACTTGTTTCAGTTGCAGATCATAAGGAATTCGAACAACTGCTTCAAATACAGTATCAGGAAGTACCGCTTGTGGAACCTCGATATCCACGGGTTTATTAGCTAAATGGCAATTGGCACATACAATACGGCCAGTCGCTTCTCGTGGATTTTCATAACCCTGCTGTGCAAAAATGGGATATGCATTTGAAAGGGGTGCCTGAGTTATTATATATATCATGAGCGATACGGAAATGTATCGAGTAATCTCTTTCTTTATCCAAGAAAAGGTATTTTTAGTTTGCATGGTCCAATCATTGATCCCGAAAATTTATACAATAAAATTAGGCAGGTCGCTAGTATAGTTCCCTATCTATAATTTTGCTATTTACTTAAATATAAATAATTTTACTGGAATATTGGAGGAATCCCTTGGATGGGTAGAAAGAATAAGTACAATTTTGAATGTTTTGCTTATCCACAAAGTAACAAATATTATAATTGGATCGTTCGATCATTTTTCAGTCATTCATTGAATGATAAATCACTACAAGTGAAGGAGATACACGATTTAAATAACGAAAGATCCAATATTTAAAAATTGTATCTAAAATGACTGGAAAAGTAGAAACAAGACCGGATATAATTTGATCATTATGAGCAAATCCAAAATCTTTGTAGACAGAGCCAATCATTAGTTCCCAACCGTGGGGCGAATGGAATCCTATACATAAATCAGTTAATAAAAGAATAGAAAAAGCTTTTATTGTGTCGCTTAAGTTATATAGGAATTCTTGAACCCAAGAGTTAAGAATAACAAGTTCTTCATTACCTATAATAGAATAACCACTTAGAATAACGAAACATATTATATTTGTCGAGAAGTGTAAAATTGTATGCGTGCGATCCTCATTGTGCATCTTGATCAATCGGATCGTTTCTTTGTAGATTTCGATGCGAGGCTTTTGTAAATGTGCTTCCGGGTATTCCTTTAACATTTCGTCCAAACGTAGGAGTTCCTCTAAGTCTATGAATTTTTTTAGAATACTCTTTTCTTGAATATCATTCAAAAAGATTTCGGATTGCCTAGTATTCCACCAATTAGTAACCCAAGATTCCAGACTTTTATTAAATGAGAGAGAGATCCACCAAGGCAAAAATACTATAGATGCAAGATATAGAAGGGAAATTAATACTTTCTTTTTTGCCATTTTTTCGTCTGTGAATTTTTTAATTTTTACTGAACGCACCTCGTTCGTCGACTCTATACGATACTAATATTTCTATCAAGCATAAGTTCTATTACAAGTTATCGAGCCCATGAATCTATTTCCGATTTTTTTTTGTGATTCAGTACAGTGGTTAGTCCTTGAATTTAGAAAGAATACAGAAATAGAATAAGAAAAAGCCCACTTCAAATTAATAGTAGTCGGATTGCGAGACGAAAGAACTCCCGTTCTATCAAAATATCAAATATTTCTAAAAAAAAAAATTCTTTACTTTATTATATTATGATTTATTATGAAATGTTTTGTTTTAATATATGATGAATCTAGTATTTAGATTTGTTACTGAATTGAGTTAAGTGGGTTTACATACGCATAAAAAAAATTGTGGACACAAACTATTTTGTTTTAGAATTATTTCGTAACGTTTGCTTTGGCTCGAATAAGCGTTCTGAAGAAACTTCAGTCAAGTTATGCTATATAAAAAACGAGGATTCTTGAGTTTTTTCTCTCTTGCAAAGTATTCATTCTTCAGTTCCTTTTTTCAAAATACTTCAATTGGTACACGCAAGAAATAGGCCAATTCAGCAGCTTTTTGCTCAATTTCTCGTGGAGTCAAATTCTCATCAGTACGAGTCAAGGGAATGGCCCCCTGGCCTTTGATTTCCATATAAAGGACACGACGAGCATAAATACCTTCTTTAATTTCTATTCTGATGGACTGAATGTCTTTCATAAGGAATCGGAGGAATATGCGACGATTTTTTCCAGGAAATCCCCAACGAAAAATACACACTACGCCCTCTTTTATATCGAATCGATCATAACCACTACCTACATTCCACGAAATTGTGCACCACAAATAAGAGCTAATAAAAAGACCTGCGATCCCATAGAAAGACATCACGATCCCTTGTGGAAAAAAAATTATTTGCTGAGAAGGAAATAAAGATATAAAATTCCTACCAAAATAACTGGACGTTCCAACCAATAAAAACCCTAATGAACCTAAAAAAAGAATAAAGGCCCAGCAGAAATTACTTGTTTTTCGAGACCCCGCTATAAGTTCTATCCATATACGTTCTGATCGCCAACTCATACTATAACTAGACCTAGTTGCATTTTATTGGAATTGGGAGAATAACAAAAATAAATTTTATTTTACTTTTTTTGTTTCCGAAGTAACTCTCATCAACCAGCACTATTATGATGTGAACGTTTAGGGGTAATTCATCGAATTTCTTAGATCCAAACTAAAATAGTAACATCCCTTTCACATGATTTCCGAATACATATAGATATATTGACTTTACATTTCAGAAATTCTCCCCGATCCCGATCTATTTGAAAATAGTTATAATTCATTTACCCATAATATCATGTTTATACATACATAAGAGCTTATGCCCGAAGGAAGCCACATGTTATACCATATTCTACTAAATAGATATCCGTGTTATGATCCAAGTAAGTCTTGAAAAAAAAAGATTCGTCCTTATTGTATCTAAAAAATCTTGTTTTTTTGAACATAAAGAGATAAAGAAGCCATTGCAATTGCCGGAAATACTAAGCCCACTAAAGGCACAAAAATTGAGGGGAAGCTGTTGAGAGTTATCATAGAATGGGTACCTCGATTTAATATTTGTACCTGTTATTTATTGTTATATTTATTGTTTTATATTAATATTTTAACCTTATCCTTATATTGTTATAAAGATATATTATAATTCATATATAATTGTTATATTATACTAAGTATACCTAAGTGAGTATATATACTTAATAGGGAGTATATAAGTATATGTTTTAATAAATATATATTAATTAATAAAATCCAATAAATATGTAAATAAATGGACCTATAAATCTTTCTACATGTTTCTACATGAAATATATGTATGATAATCCACCCTTTATATTATTCGTATTATTAGTTATTATCTTGTTCTTGTCTTATAAATTTAATAATTTTATAAAATTTACTAAAGAAAGGATTTATTACAAATTCTCAAAGAATTCATTATAATAATACGACCCAACAAAAAGGATTTTTAGGGGGGGGGGGGGGGGGGGGGTGGTTTGGGGGGATATAGAGAAGATGCAAGACCCTGTTAACCAATTTCACGGAAGAAAGAATTCACTCTTTTATTTTGTTTAATAGGGATTTCCTGGTTAGTAACCAGGAATATCGATAAAAAGATGATCTGGATGATTCTTTCTACAATTAAATCTTATGTTACCAAAGAAAAAATCCATTCTTCGTATTTTTACTTTGATTCCTATAAATTAAATAACTACTTGATCACCACACATAAAAAATTTTATTAAGTTTTAATAAATTAATACTCTTATTAAATTAAGACTCTAAGGCTCTACTTGATCTAATTTTGATTCAAAGGAAAGAAAGCATGTAGCCGAAATAACTCACCCAGAACGCCCTTTAAAGGATTACGTGGTACGATTGGATCGAATAAGCCCTTATGGAATAAATATTCAGCCACTTGTGAATCCTCAGGTACTGTCTTATTCAATGTTTGTTCAATTACTCTTTTACCCGCAAATGCAATGTAAGCATTGGGTTCGGCAATAATGATATCTCCCAACATACCAAAACTGGCCGTCACCCCACCTGTGGTAGGGGATGTAAGGATTGATACATAAAATAACTTTTTATTTGATTGATAATCATATAAAGCAGAAGATATTTTAGCCATTTGCATCAAGCTCAAACTTCCTTCTTGCATGCGTGCTCCTCCGGAAGCACACACTATAATAAGAGGTAAAAATTGATTGGTAGCATACTCGGCCAAACGTGTGATTTTTTCGCCCACTACAGATCCCATACTACCCCCCATAAACTGAAAATCCATAACTCCAATTGCTACGGGAATACCATTTAGTTGGCCTGTGCCTGTTTGAACGGCCTCAGTTAATCCTGTATTTTTTTGATAAGAATCAATACGATTTTTATAAGGTTCCTCCTCCGAATGAAATTCAATGGGATCCAGAGAGACCATGTCTTCGTTCATAGGATCCCAAGTACCGGGATCAATCGAAAGTTCGATTCTATCGAAACTACTCAT